GAGATCAAAGGCATGCACCATCTTGTTCCATGCAAGTCCCTGTTCTTAACTTCTAAGCTATCTTTCCAAGCTCTGAGGGGACACTAGCCCACTCACACATGTGGCTCTGTTCAGACTTGCCATTTTCTCCTATTCCCTCTGCTTTGCTAAAAACCTTTAGTTTACTTTCCTAAAGCTAGCCTCCAATGTCTATTCCTATATTTGCCCACTTCCCCTTCCTGACCCTGACTACCGAAGTCCATCAGTGAAAAGCTATCTTGGGCTCACCCGATTGACATGCCAGTTAAAATTCAACACCTCTTCCTAACACAGGTGTTTGCTCTTTACTTTATAATCCACCATTTGCCTATGTGCCATGTCTTTCTCCTCTCTATTCAGAGGTAGTCCTCCCTTTGTTCCTCTTGGACAATTACCCCTTCCCTTTCTCCCTCATCCCCTATTTGTTTTACAACATCATCCTAGCCCCTTCTAAATAGAATTCCTGTCTTTCTCTTCTTAAAAATTATATCTGCTAGGTCACTTACTGTTTTTTTTCTGCCAGAGTTAGGAATCAGCCATTTTAACTTTTCTTCCCTGCTGAATAAAGTATCTCTGTTAAAAGGGTGTTTGGATATAGTTTATCCCTAATCCAGTGTTATGAGGGAGACCCTGCTGTACAGGCATCCCCCCCTTTCAACCTATAAAATTAAATATTTAAAAACATTTAAACTACCAGAAATATCAAAGATACTAGCACATTCTGGCACCTTCTTTACTGCAGAAAAGCTCCAAAGCACTTGAGAGAATCATAGACTCTCTGAGGGGAGACTTTGCAAAGGCTGAGTCTGCAGAGCCTGCAGTATATCTGGAAGAACTGATAAAAAGTCTGGTCTCATGAGAAGATTGTTTTAAAAATTGGACTAGTGGAATTTGAAGGAAAGATGACAGAGAGTATCAGAGCAGCAAGAGTGACAGAGAATGGCAAACTGTAAATATGGTGGTGAAAGGTATGGGAGAGTGTGGTCACTGCAGATAAAGGCCATGTCATTACTGAATAAGGCCCACCCATGTCCTGCAGACCTGACCACAGCACAGAGCTTCTGTTTACCGTGCTGTGTGAACGGGATCTTGGGCCACATGGCTACATGTAGGCTGCAAGCATAACAGCTGCATCCTGTGAACCTCAGGGTGTTTAGCACTAAAGACAAGGACTTGTAGCCATCTGCAGCTCTCAAGGATTCTACTCCGAATGCCCTGCCCAGCTGAAAGAGCAACATGAGACTGAACAATGTCGTGATATGAGACTTGGTAATGGTCTAGTGCTTACGATGACATAGAAATGAGAAAACTTGAGTCAGACCAGTGTCTTGTTGCTATGAGAATATGCATGCTAAGCTGTTTGTACCACCACTGCCTGTCGTCTATGGCTAACTAGTGTGGCTGACATTGCATTCTCGTCTTCAGGCAAGTTTATTTGTGAAATCATAAACAAAATATCACCACACAAATATTGATGGGGATGTGGAAAGAAAGGGAAACAAGTGCGTGGTGGAAAGAGGTTGTACCAGATATTTGTCAGTGAAAAAGTTGTTGGAGAATGATGCAAGTCATTGCCCCATAGGGTAAAGCACGATTCTGTGCAAAGGCATGACTTTAAGTAGGTTCTGTTCCCAGAAAACTATGCCCTACTGAACTATCTCCATAGCTATGAGCAATGAAAGGAAGGCCGAGAAGGAGGTCTGTTCATTTTCTGTTTTGGGACACTCTGAGAGACCTCTATGGTCTGTGCTGACCCCAGAGGCCCTGTCAGTGTCAGTGATCCATTCAACTTCCCCAAGCCATATTGATGCCCATGGTCCATGTGGATGTCTGTGGTCTGTAATACTGCTGGATACCATGTTGATATCAGTGATCCATGATGCTGCTGCAGGCCATGTAGGTGCCTGTAGTCCTGGGACCGTGGTGATTTCTGTGGTCCTTGCATCACTGGAGGCCACATAGGTATCTGTTGTGTGCTGCCACCTGAGACCATTTTGATGTTTTATGACAGACAGATGGATGTCTGCACCCTGGCCTGACACCTGAGACCATGTTAATGTCTGTATTCCACGCAGCTGCAGAGAGCCATGTGAATGTCCAGCTAGAGGTCATGTTGATGTACATGGCCTGTTCTGCTACCAAGGCCATGATGGTATGCACTGACCACTCTACAGCCAAGGCCTGTGTTAACGGCTTTCATCTGTGCTCTCACTAGATGCCATGTAGATGTCTATGGTCGTGATTACTGTTGACTGTAATGGGCAAAGAAGCTTCTTTTGCAGTAATATTGATCACTATAGCATCACAGTTGAGAATGAGAATCACAGGTCATCTCTGTCCTTCCGACGGCCAATCCCCAAAAGAAATGTCTAGACAGGCAGACATTGAAGAAAACTCTTTAAAAATGTGATAGAGATGTTAAATTGTAGTTCTTCACATTTATGGTTTCTGCTGGGATGGGGAGGGTGAGGAAGGACTCAGTTTTTCTTTAGAGGCTGGCTGATTCGAGTTCAACCATGCTCCAGTGAACACATGGATAACACTAATTAAACTTGCTGTATTTTTTTTTCTATTTTGTGACACATTTTACACAGCTCTCTTTTATTTGTGTGGCAGTCATCATCTTTTATTTGATATGAAAGTACTTGAAGGTTTTTGGTGCCTTTTGCACAGATAAACTGGTTCTTGATGTCATTTAAGTTTCTTTAGAATAAGAAAAACCCCATAGGAATATAAAGAAGCTTCACTTCCTAGTGACTGTGAACAGAGCATCACTGAAATAAACAAGATTGTAGATGTAGTTCTTGAACATAAAACACTAAGTGGCAGAGCTGGGTGGTGTGGTAGATTTATCTTTAGGTTTTGAGGATTCTTCAGAGTTCCTCCATCAATTTCCATTGCACCAAAACCAGAATGTGATTTCCTTTCTCCCCACAACCTATACCAGACTTTGTTGTCAGTTGTTTTACTAATTTTAGATAATCTGGGTGGGATGACATGAAATCTCAAAGTTGTTTTAATTTGCATTTCCCTAATGGCTAAAGATGATGAACATTTTGAGATTTATCGTTTGGCCATTTTTATTTCTTCTTTTGTGAACTCTATTTCCTTCACCAGGGAATGATGGAATGAAAAGGGCTGGTTGAGTGAGACTGTTGGAATGGGTGAAGTCTGGGAATCAGTCTACCACAGGGCTCAGCAATTTCACTTTATCCATATACCCACATCTATGCAACAAAGACATTTGTTCAACTTTGTTCATAGCAGCATTATTTGTAATAGCAAGAACCGGGAAGCAACCTAGATGCCCCTCAACTGAAGAATGGATAAAGAAGATGTGACACAATGGAAACTATTCAGTGTGGGGGGGGAACAATGGAATCTTGAAATTTGCAGGCAGATGGATGGAACTTAAAGAAAACATCCTGAGTGAACTACAAGAGGAAAATGGATGTACTCATTCATATATGGATTTTAGACATGGAGCAAAGGCTCACCAGCCTATAATTCACACTGCCAGAGAAACTTGGATATAAGGAGGAACCTGAGAGATTCATACAAGGTCCCTCTCAGAACTGGAAAGGAACAAGAACTCCTGACAATATTGGCAGTGTTGGGTGGGCAGTGAGTGGAGAGGGAGTTAGGAGAAAGAGAAGGGGAGAAGAGGAGAACATGTGGGACCAGGAAGATTGAGTCGGGGAATGAAAAGATGAGAGCAAATAAAGAAATATCATAATAGAGGGATTACTGTTTTGAAGACAAAACTGATTCTAGAGAAATGTCCAGAGACCTACAAGAATGACCCCAACTAACACTCTGAGCAACAATAAAGATGCTACCTTAAATGTCCTTCCCTGATAATGAGTTTGATAACTAACTAATGTGCCATCCTTGAGCCTTCATCTAGTAGATGATGGAAACAGAAGCAGACACCAACAGGTAAACACTGAGCCAAACTCCAGGAATCCATTAGCAGAGGGGGAGGAATGATAAGAAAAGGGGTTAAGAGGAGGCTACAGAAACCCACGGAGATAGCAGACCTGAACAAGGGGGAGCTCATGGACCCCCAGAGTGATAGCTGGGAAATCAGCATTGTACTAATTCAGAGCCCCTGAATGTGGCTCTCAGTTAGAAGGCCTGGGCAGTCTAAGGGACCTCGGACAGTGGGACCAGGATGAATCCTTAGTGCATTGAAAGGACTTTGGGAGGATATGCCCAAAGCCTAGAGACAGGAGGGAGGGCCTAGAACCTACACCAAATGACTTGACATATTTTGATAATCCCTCCTGGAAGGATCACCCTCCTTGTGGGGTACAAAAATAAGAAAAAATAATAAATATGTATTAAAAACAAAAATACTAAAAAAAAAAAAAAAAAAAGGAAAAACAAAAGTATTTTCTAGGAATCCTGCAGTGCCCCCTAGTGGACCTCAATCACCAAAAGAGTGACTTTTCTGTTTTATATATCAATCCCAGTTCCCTCTCCCTCCATCCCATGCCCCCTCTCAATCGCCCTTCCATCCCATTCCCCACCTACTCCACGGGGTGTGTGTGAGGAGATGGGTTAGATTTGAGAGGATGTTGAGGAGAGGAGATTATGATCATAATATAGTGTATCGAATTCTTTTTGTGAGGACAAAAAAGGTACATAAAAATGTGCTAGGTTTCTTGCAAGCTCAGCTTAACACACTGTAACTATTACTTTTCCCAGTGGTATTTTACATGTATTCCTCTTCCTCAGACATTTTTCCTTCAAACTCCCCTTATAAGAAATGTTACATTAGAAGTACAGTGTCCCTGGGTCCCCATCATTGTCCTCCACAGTTGAGCAATTGCCTTGCAAATTTGTGAGGTGGAAGTGGGTGGGGCTTCTTTGTCAATGAATGAGGAAGTTGGGTGATTCAGAGAGAAGCTGCTTTGTGTAAGCACAAGACTTGACACCCTCACAGCTGGAGAGGACATCCCAGCAACTGGAAAGGGGCCATGGAGAGGAAGCTGGGAGCTGTACTGGGGATTCTGTTTGTGCAGATTTGCTGTGAGTTGTGTGCTCCTACATTGCTTTAGGGATTCTCCAGGTGGAGATGTCAGGGTGGAGGGGATGAGCCAACCTAGAGCTCCTGGGCAGTCATCCTCAAGGTGTCTCCTGGGATGTTTGACAGGTGTGTGTGAAATCCCCTCATGATTCTTGTTTGCTTTTCTGTTTCCAAGCAGTGGTGAGAGGAGTTGAGGTGGAGCAGAGTCCTTCAGTCCTGAGTCTCCATGAAGGATCCAGTTATGCTCTGACATGCAAGTTTTCTACAACCATGATGTATGTACAGTGGTTCCAGCAGAATCCCAGGGGCAGCCTCATAAATCTTTTTTACATGGCTCCAGGAAAAAAGGAGAATGGAAGATTAACCGCAACATTCAATTCTAAGGAGCGCAACAGCACCCTGCACATCAGGGATGCCCAGCTGGAGGACTCAGGCACCTACCTCTGTGCTGCTGAAGCACAGTGTTTCCAGCAAGCCTGCAGCCTGGTCCAAAACTGCAGCTGGGTGTGCAGCTACAACCCTTACACAGGGAGACTCTGCAGGAGGTTTTTGCAGAGGTGTGTTTTTATCAGATCTCCACCAACTACAAAGGTGTGAAGAAACACAAAATTACCACAGCATAAGTTCACACTTAAACTAATGTAATACTGACTTGTAGAAGGATAAATGAAATATCAGCCCACTTGAGTAAAATCTACACTTTTTTTTTTAACCAAATGCTTCTGCTAATGTCATAAAATATAAACTGTCTTACACACTCTAGGATCATTTCAGTCCTTTCCCTAGATTGGAAACTGAGAGCAACTGTTTACAACCTATGTTTAGAGAACACAGGACAATACTAGAAGTTATTCTGCTCACCATGAATTTGATAAAATAAGTAATTAATTCGTAAATTACTAACTAATTAAGCTGTACAAAGCAAACTATCTTAAATCACAACAATGTCAGCATTGTCTTGAAATTTAAAAAATATATTTAATTATGCGATACACAACAAATATTTTATGTAGCCAATTATGAGACCCAAATGATATTACATATTGCATATTAGAGAGATATATATATTTGTAATTTGTATCACAAAAATACTTACAGCAATTGATTCCTCAAAATACTTACATATCTACAATGTAATGAACATGCAGAAATTATCATTAAAATATTGCTTTCAAAAGAAAAGCTGGAAACCTCCTAAAAATCACACAGTAGGGGATAACTTTTTAAATATAATGATTAAATGTGTTGAAAACAGTGCTGATTCCCAAGGGAATTAACTGACCCTTTGTGATTCTTTCAGCTCCATCCCCATTGCAACATCTCTTGTTTCAAATATAAATGATCTAGGCTTTCCAGATAATAAACAGTTCCTATTTGTCAGTAAGGTCTATGGTGAGCATGGCTAGAAGTGGTGACACTACAATGGCAGCTTATACATTAAGAATTACTCATTCAGTCGTCTCAGAGAGGTCACAAATAGCAACCATCATAATCCTAGGGTCTTAATAGTGAGTGGAGGAATGAGGTGAGATTGGAATGTGGTAATTAGTCACAGAAAGAGAGTACTCTGAAAGTTCTGTCTAACTGATCTTGATAGATCTTTTTCCTAATCACCACCTGATTAATCTGGACTTGAAAGTGCTTGTTTAATTAAAAAAAAAATGAGCTTGATGACTACAGATAGAGGTTTTAGAAATTTTATAGACAAGACATAAGGTAAACTTTTTAAACATGGATATAAATGTTATTTTCTGTTGTAAATCCTTAAAATCAAAATGTAGGATTAATCAAAATATAAACGTGAAAGAGTTTTCTCAGTTGAGAAAAGCTACTTCCATTCTTCTACATTTGCACAGTCATTATGCCCCAATCACCCTCTTCATCCCAACCTTTTAGAAGGTCTGTGAGCTCTCAGACTTGAATCACCAATGCCCATTCTTTTTTAAAATGTGGTGCACAGTAATATCTGTCTGATGCACAAGAGTTTTATCCTGCTGTAGTCATAAGTCATCTTATCCATTTCCTGTACTGATTTTTCTAGATTTTCACTCATTTCTTGATTTTGACCTCTAATTTTCTTATTAGCTTCTAGTAAGGGAAAATTTTCACCAAGATGCTAAGCTCACAGTATTTATTTATTTATATGTTTATTTATTTACAGTCAACTGTGATCGGTTGTCACTGTCCTCTCCTCTCCCTAATCAACATGAGTCTTTCTGTGAATCCATGTGTTTCTGGTTGTCAGTAATGCCCTGACAAACTGTTCAATCTCTCTTCTTAATGTGTTGTTTCCATTCTCAGCCTCTCCATTTCAAAGAGCCAATTGTTCATTAAAATTCTTGTTTTCCAATTATTTTTCCACAGTCTTTAACTTTACATCTTCTTTCAAGTTGGTGAACTTTATCAAGTAAGAACTGAGCACCGCGTCCACTTGTAGACTGCTGAGCCATCTCCAGTTCATTTTTCAGTCTCAATATTTTTTTTTCTTTATTCGATTTTCAATTTTGCTTGTGCTTCTCCAGGCTGTTCGTTCAACTTCTCCAAAGCCAGCTCTGATTCTCGAGCTGTCACCTCCATCTGTGACTGTGTGATTCTGAACAGATGTGTCACATTTCCTCAGCCTCATCTTTAGTCCCTTTACATCCACCTCCACTAAGGTGGTCAATGAATCATCTGCCAGCTCTTCTTGCAATGCCCTGCCATTTGAATCAAATTTGACTAATTTTCCTAGTTTATATTAGGGAAACTCTTGAGTTCGTTCCCTGCCTTTCTCTCCTAAACCATGCCTTGCAACCAGTTATGGTCCATTCCCTACAGCAGCACCACTCCTGCTTCTCAGGCATGGCCATCCTCTTCTTAGAGCCATCCTAATGCACTCAGGCTCCCATCAACCCTTCTTGAAAAGGCCAAATCACAGTGGTTGATAGGTGTTGCCAGTCATGATATATGGCTCAGGCATATTACTGACAAGCTCTGACAATTAAATTAACCCATTTCTAGTACTCTGTATTTTACTACAAAGTTCCTGGCTACTCACCTTATATCTTGTATCCTGGGGTTACATGGTGTCACATTGACTCCATCTTCTGTGTTTCATATCTTTCTTTGGATTGCCCACATGGCCCTATTTTGCTTGGCCATATGCCAAAACAGTTTTATTCATCCACCTATAAAAGCAGCACATATTTGCAATATATAGCACATCCCACATCACTTTATCACTACTTCTATTGAGAAGTACCTGGTACTTCTGGAAAGAGGGAACTTATATCAGGAAGCCATCAAGATGAGGCTGTCAATGTGACTTTTACTACATATGTTAATAATGTGGTAACTGCTGCCATTCTGAGATTCTCCAGGTTGCCAGGAGTAGGTTTCATACAAGAAATATCTGTTGGGTTTAATGATAAAGCAGGGCATCATAAAGAAGCATCCTTCCTATCTCTGCTTCAGCCATCGAGTTCACGGCCATATCACACCATATAGGATCATTATTTTTAGAAAATCTCAATTAATTTTATTTTATTTGACTATAAATTTAATGTTCCCATGATCTACTATCACTCCATTTTTGTTATGAGAGATATGGAAACCCAGATAGGAGTGTATCTATTTTGTAGGCATACTAGATTCCCAAGAATTGTGAATGGTTTTAGGTTTCTATACTATGAGACAGTTTCTCGCCAATCCTTTATCACCCTCTCTGACACTGCTCTCTATAGGTATTGTCTGTGTCCAGTAGCATAAAGAATTTCAAGGTAAAAAATTCATAACCCCCCTCATCCAATTCCACTACAAGGCAGAATCTATGTGCATGATGTCATTATAAAATGATTAGATGAGGGGCTGGTGAGATGGCTCAGTGGTTAAGAGCACTGACAGCTCTTCTAGAAGACATGGGTTCAATTTCAAAAACTCACATGGCAGCACACAGCCATCTGCAAGTCCAATAGCAGGGAATACAACACCCCAATACAGTATACATGCAGGCACAAACTCCAATGTACATGCAATAAAAATAATTAATAAAAACGATACAGATGATAAATGAGCATGAATAGGAAGAAACCCTGCTTCCACATTTCATCCTGAGCACTATATCTCCATCAGTGCTCCTGCAGAAGCAGTCTCTCCAGGGAATATCAACCAGTTTCACCTCTGCATGTTGGATGTGGAAAGGATCTGTTCCATTCTGTGTACAATAAGAAATAAGAGCTCCAAACCTGGACCACATTGAGAAAGAAAGACTCAGGCTAAACCATCTCAATTCTCTTTTTAAAAATTTTTTTGGTGGAAAATGGAGTTTGGGGGCTGGAAAAATGGTTCAGAGGTTAAGAGCACAACTGCTCTTCCAGAGGTTCTGAGGTCAATTTCTAGCAAACACATGGTGGCTCACAACCACCTATAATGACATCTGGTGCTCTCTTCTGGCATGCAGGCAAACATATAGGTAGGATAATGTATACATAATAAGTAATCAAATCATAAAGAAAATCAATTTTTCATGTAATATATTCTGATCGCTGCTTCCCTCCACACATCTTCTCCCAGATCCTCCCCATGGCCCCACCTACCTAACTTCACACTTCTCTCTCTTTTTAGAAAACCAGCCAGTGAGTAAACAAACCAGAATAGAACAAAAGAAGAGAAAAAAAGAAAAAGAATAAGAAGCACATATACATATATGCAAAAATACATGCATAAATAAAAATTCATAAAAACACAATATTGGAACCCATAATATATAAGCAAGCAACCAATGTGTTAAATAGAGCCCAGATAAATAATTATGAGATTAAAAAAAACTCTAAAATTAAAATTGAGCTCATTGAGTTGGCCATCTACAGCATCTATAGCTGGATATGAGGCTTGCCCTTAAGTGTGATTTGTGTACCCAGTGAAGTACTGTTGGCAAAAACTAAGTTTTCCTCCTTGAGAGGTTGTTGGTTAGGGATTAGGGATCATGTTCACTTCACCTCTCAGCACTGGGATCCCATCTGTATAGGTCCTCTGCAGACCACGTGCTTATTGTCACCATCTCTATGAGTTCATATGTCAGCCAGGTTTACTGTGTGGATGGCATTATTTCCTTAGTGCCTCCATCCCTACTGACTTGTATAATCTTTCTGCTTCCTCTTTGCAAAATTCTCTGAACCCTGAGGGGAGAGGTTTGATGGGGACATTAGCACTGGGTGTTGTGATGAATCCCCACTGATTGGAGGAAGAATCAGAGGAGAGGCCCCTGAATGCTGTCTATTACAGGAGATGGTACCAGGGGAACTGTAATGTTGGACAAGAAGGACAGTGAAGATGACCTACCTACTTTCCAAGTCTATATGTACACTGAGTTACCAGTTAGACAGTGTTTGTAGCTTTTCACAGTTGAGACAAAGGAAGTGAGCCAGAAATGGGGTGGTGTGCTGCTGGAGGGGGTCCAAGGGAAGGAGGAAAGTTGAGTTTGTTGTGAAGTTTGGCAGATTCTCCAGGGAATCTACCACTGCTCTTATATGAGTAATTTAGTCTAAATGTGGTGGGAGTGAGTGAAATGAATGGTGCTATCCTCAAGATCAAATGCCTTCTGAGAAATTTCCAAAGAG